TGTAGACTACAACTTCCATCATCCCTGAGCATTGGCCGTGCTGGCTGAGGCTACTGTGATTTGTAGTCCATCAACATCTAAAGGGAACCAGAGTGCGCTGGTGACTAGAGTGAAATTCCCAGCCAATTCACTATAAATTACTTTTAAGTAAACTTGTTCAGAGCTGAGTTGCACGTGTACAAATGTTTTAACAAACAGTTTCCTCTATTCAACCTCACAACATAGGGTTGTTTCATGGATTAATTTATCAATGGAAAACTTTTGTCCCTGTTCTAGCAGCATGATTATTATTACTCCTATTACCCATAGACTATTACTGCATGACTCAGGGTATTGGAATGGCAGGAGGCAGAGAGAGTTCCAGCAGGAACTAGCATCTTTTGAAGTATTATTTCCACTATTGGAATGTAGGGGATCAAAGCCGAATTATTTAAATTCTCATCCCCTATTGTAACTAAGCTTGTATAATCTAAGTCTAAATCTAACCAAAACTGTTCCCTATTTACACCCCCCATCTGTTGTTTCCTCTACATTTTAGGTTGTACACTACTTGGAACAGAGAGCAGTATACCATGTAAGCAATGTGCAAAATGATGACATATATGTATATGCATGATTTAAAGGCATTATTCTGCCAGTTTTACTAGCTCCTAATGCCTCATTGCCCTTATCGCCACTCTAAATATTACTGGTTAGAGGGACATGACGAGGTTAACTCTTCATTTTCTTACTTTTGTGTGCAGAGCACATGGATTAGGCAGCAACTTCTAATGAAGTGCCTAGTCTTATGATGATTTGGCCATTTTTAACAAGCAGGTCATGCTGTACACATTATCAGTGTTAAAAACAATTCCAATCAAAGAACGACTTTTTTATTTTTAGAAACTTCAGAGTACTAAAATGTTTCATAGCAAATTCTGAGGGTCAAACTATACCTTAAATACATGGTGTACAGCTAGCATTTAAATTAATAGTAGGTGTATGTGGAGGGACGTTGTAACCCAGAATTCCTGACACAGGGAGGGGGGATTACACCCTTCCTCACATCCTGACAGAATGCACCCCTCCCTCATAGGTGATGCTGTGCTCTGAGTCTAAACCACTGAACCTCTTGGGCTTGCTGATCAGAAGGTTGGCGGTTCGAATCCCGTTGCGCTGTCCCAGCTCCTGCCAACCTAGCAGTTCGGAAGCACACCGGTGCAAGTATATAAAAAGGTACCGCTGTGGTGTAAATGGCGTTTCCGTGCACTCTGGTTTCCGTCATGCTGTTTCATTGCACCAGAAGTGGTTTAGTCATGCTGGCTACATGACCCAGAAAGCTGTCTGTGGACAAACACCAGCTCCCTTGGCCTGAAAGCGAGATGAGCGCCGCAACTCCATAGTCGCCTTTGACTGGACTTGACTGTCCAGAGGTCCTTTACCTTTTATACCTTTTTTTTTTTTTTAGCTTGGCAGGGGGAGGGGAGCTGTCAGTGGGAACTGGGCAGTGGCAAGGACTTTTATTGGGAATGCTGGGAAAAGGTCTTTATAATCTTATCTTCAGATTGCAGAGGGGATGAAGGCAACACCCAAGCACAAAGAAGATGCTGTCAATCTTATCTCTCTAGAGAATATACAGTGGTACCTCAGGTTAAGTACTTAATTCATTCCGGAGGTCCGTTCTTAACCTGAAACTGTTCTTAACCTGAAGCACCACTTTAGCTAATAGGGCCTCCTGCTGCTGCCGCACCGCCAGAGCCCGATTTCTGTTCTTATCCTGAAGCAAAGTTCTTAACCTGAAGCACTATTTCTGGGTTAGCGGAGTGTGTAACCTGAAGCGTATGTAACCCGAGGTACCACTGTACTGTGTATTCCAAATATGCTTGTTTCATTCACACATTGCAATATGAGGTATACAAACCTAGTCTTAGATGTAGCCTTGAGTGTTTGCAAACCAGTGTGATAAAGTGGGTTCGAATACAGGACTAAGACTTCAGAGAAATTGAACCCCACCCCCCTCACAGAGTGCAATTGGGCCAGACACCTACTTTAGTTAGGCTGTTCTAAGGATAAAATGGGCAAGGAGGAAGATGCACCACAATGAGTTTCCTGGAGAGAGAAATTGTAAAAATAAAATAATTTCCAAATTATTCATGGTTCAAGCTCGTTTTTACTGTAGTAAAGGAGAAGAGCAGGGGAAGATCCTTCACCTGCGCTCTCCTGAGGCTGAGCTTCGAGCTTCTCATACTATTGGTAATCTGGGTTTCCCGTCAGCTACAGGCTGCAAAAAAGGAACAAGCCACAGTCTCCACCTCCTTCAGCTGTCATCCTGTCAAAACAAAGGCTCTGTTGCCAAGACCAGGCAGAGGGAAAGGGGGGGGAGCTTGGGAGGAGTTACAGCTCAAAGCGCCCAATCCAAGCTTCTCCTTCTCCACTCTCCTCCCCAAGTACACTGGCACTGCACACAACTGGATACAGAGTGCTGGAATGGCTTTCTTGTGCAAACAAAAAAGAAAGAAAGGGGGGGGATTGTTTATCTCTTCAAACAGACACACACAGCAGGCACTTAAAGGAGTTTGTCTCTGTGCTCAATCCTGTGTTTACATGACAAGCAGCTGGGGCACCATTTTACCAAGCAAATAATAGAGTAAAAAAAAACGGCTGGCATAACCTGCTGGGCCTGAGTATTCTTTTCTTCTGAAAACACAATGTTCTCCCTGCTTCCCCCCCCCCTCTCCATATCACTTTCTCCAAAAAGATGCACTGACATCTCGCATTTCTGACATGCATTCTCAATCCTGCGTTGCCTTACAGCTGCCTGCAAATTGGTTCTTTTTCCTCCCTGTGCAGAGAACTGAGGAAATCTCCACTTAAACACTGTACACACATTGAAACCTTCAGTCTTGCCATGGGGCTTCCTTAAAAACAGAGCAGGGCAAGTAAGGGGCTTTTTTGGAAAGACCTTCCATTGGGTTGTCAAGTGGAAATGAGCCATACAGAAGCTGAAGGCAGACAAAGTGCAGGGAAGGCTGAATTTCACCCAGTTCTGAAAGATGTCTCTCTTGCCAAGCTTGGGACATATGGCGCAAAAGCAAAGAACTGAGCAGCTCTAGCCATCCAGAAAGTGCAAAGTACTCCCCTTCCCTTAAGTAATCACAACCTGTCCCACAATATGGATTGGGGAAGGGGTTTGGTTTGGATTACACCTTCGGGCGCCCTCCAAACCTGTGGTTTTATATCTGTACAATGGGAGCCTGGTCAAGTATAAATGTATTGCCATAGAAACGATTTGTTAGTGATGCCTCCAGCCCCTAGAGAACGATAGGCCAGGGGTGGATAGCTCAGTAGGTTAGAGCACAGTGCTGATAATGCCAAGGTTGCAGGTTCAACCCCAGTAAGGGACAGCTGCACAGTCCTGCATTGCAGAGGGTTGGACTAGATGATCCTCAGGGTCACTTCCAGCTCTACAATTCTATTCTGGGATAGACTTGTATGGAGCTGGGAAAATACAGAGGCTTGACTTGCTCTCTGTGCTGTAACCAAAGCTAGGAAGGAAGGGTCCCTGGAGACCTAATGGGGTATTAAGATCTGTTGGAATGTTAATGCTGTGAGTCCTTCTATCTTATGCTCAGGTTGTATAAATGTGGAGGGAAAGCCGTATTTCAAAAAGACACCACAGTGATCTTCATGCCAAAGAAACAGAACCGCAAGATAAGCTCTGGCACTCCTCAAGTATCCCACTGCTCAGAGACTGTTTGTGTGTGTGCTATTATAATTACAATTAATGAATTATTTGCATTCTACACCAACATTTCAAGACGATTTATGCTTATGATAATTGATAAGTTAAAACACACACACACACACACACACACACATATGACTGAAACCCTAACAGCGGGAAAGGCTGTTAGAACAAAAATGTGTCCAACTCTTTCCAGAAACTGTAGATAATGCGCACCTGTCATATCCACAGGACAGGGCAACCACACAAAACACCCTGCTCCAAGTTACTGGGGAGTGCGCTTCTGAGAGCTTTGGAACTTGCAGGAGAAACTGTCCCACAGACTGCAGCAATCTACTGGGAGTATAAGAAATAAGGCAGTCTCTCAAGGAACCTGGTCCTGAGCTGTACAGGGACTTATGTGCATACCAACACCTTGAACTTGGCCCAGTAGCAGATTGGCAGCCGGTGCAAATCCTTCAAGCAAGGTGTCACATGCTGGCAGTAGTTTGTCTCCAACCACTGCAACCACATTCTGCACCAGCTGCAGCCTCCAGGCCAACCCAGAGGGCAGCCCCACACAGAGCGCACTACAGTAATCCAGCCGCATGACAACATAATACTGTGTGCATCACTGCACCATGAGCCAGTTAACCCACGATAACTACCAACCCCAAACACAGTTAACAACGGAGCTTGCAGGAGCTAATGGGAAATGATCCTTCTTTTTTCTTTTCAGCTACGCTGGCATGCGTGCATGCATGCATGAACTAATCCGAATCAGGCGATCGCGCAACGAAACATAGCTACAGGTCAGGAAGAAGAAAATTAAGCAAATCGCTGCTTCCCCAGCGAGCAACCTGTTGCCAGGCTGCCTTAAGTGGAGAGGCAGGAATGAAAACACCCGTTTGCGCGTGCGTGCACATCCACACACACACACACACACCCCTCCCCGCACACGCACTCACCGGTGCAACCGTTCCATTTTTTAAGGGCCTCCCATTCGTTCCGCTTTCCAAACGGGCCGAAGGAGTAGCCCGGCCGGCAGCTCCGGCGCCTCCCCTTCTGACAGCAACTAGCAAACAGCAACAGCGGCAACGCTGGACGCCCCCTGGGGGCTGCAAGTTAACAGGGCGACGTCTATGGATGGATGCCGCTGCCGAGTCCATTATTATTATTATTATTATTATTATTATTATTATTATTATTATTATTATTATTATTACTACAACTATTACTGTGTTTTATTTTTCCGCCGACCCCCCCCCCAAAAAAAACCCCGCACCGAGCGGCTTACCTTGCAGGCGGAGTAGACGCCCAGCTTCTCCAGCTTCTTGGCGCGCGGCGCGGCGCGGAGCTGCGCCTTCTTCCCTACGACGCGAGCCGAGCCAGGGCCGCCGCTGCCCGGGCCGCCGCCGCCACCACCTCCCGCTGCAGCAGCAGCCGTCGCCGCGGGGCTCTCGGCAGTCGCGGCAGCGGCGGCGGCGACCACAGCCCGGACGGGTCCGCAAGCGGCCAGCCCTCCGGCGGCCGGGGAGCCCTGCTGCAGCGCTCCGTTGCCGCCGCCGCCGCCGTTTCCCCCGCCGCCGCCGCCGACCGCGGCTGCTGTGGTGGCGGAGGACGCCGCGGCGGCGGCTCCCGCCCCGGCCGCGCCAGCCTCAGCCATGCCGCAGCCCGGCCGGCACGACGAGGCTCGCCGCCAGGCTCCTCGCCCAGTGCCCGGCTCGGTGCGCCCGTCGAGCGAGCGCGCTGGATGGAGCCTCCCCTTTCCCCCGCTGCTGCCGCCGCCGCCGCCGCCGGCTGCTCCCTCCGGAGGGAGGGAAGGAGGGGACAGGGCCGCACCGCGGGCGGGTCCTGCTGGGCGGAGAGGAGGAGGCGCCGCTAAGAAGAAGCCAGCGGGGAGGAGGGGAAGGCGACGGACATGTTGTTGCCGCCAGCGAGCCTGGCTTCGGCTGTCACCGCCCGGCAGCCCAGGAGGAGGAGGGAGAGGGAAGCCGGGCGGCCGCGCGGCCTGCCTGGCCCTTCCTTCCCTCCTCGCCTGGGAAGCGGCGCAGTGGCGTCTCCGCTGGTCCTGGCCATAAAGCGCGCCAAGTGCCTCAGCAGCTCAGATCTGCCCGTCCGGGTCGCGCCTCTTCGGGGCCCCGCGGAAGAATTTAGCAACAGTTCCAGAGGGCATCTCTCTCTGAGGAGAACTGGCGGCGCGTGTCTGTGTGCGCCACTGCGGCGTCCCCTCAGGGCAAGTCATAAAGAGGAAGCAGAAGAGTCCTCGTCCGGCACTTAAAAAATAATAAAATAAATCAACGTCTAAGTCCGTCAGGCTTTCAAGCGCCACAGAGCTCTGGAGCGGCGGGCGGGTCTCCTCTTTTGCCAAGCGGCTTCTCCCGCTGCCGTCGGAGCGCGCTTGCAGATGCGATTCATGGGGGAAGGAGGACGGCGACTCGGGGAAGCCGCCAATCCTGCAATGCAAAGCCGCCCCGCAACGTGATTCTAGGGTTAGGCGAGCGCGAGTGGCGTCGAAGCGCGCCCGCTTTCCTTTTCCTTTCCCGCGAGGGGATTGCAGTTTTTAGGACCGGGGAAGGAAGAAGGAGCCTTTTCATTTTATTTTTTTAAGAGCACTCCGCTCGTTGTTATTTGTTATTTTATCTTCAACCAAGTGGTTTTAAAGCTGGGCTCTTCGCAAACTTGCAGGGAAGGAAATGGGCTCTTTAGACGGGTCGCAGCAGCGAGTTGGGGAGAGAGGGCTCAACCTGCCCATTACTGTAGAGTTCAGAGTGAACTCTGTTGGGAGTTCATTGCCTCTAAAGGTAGACACCCGAAAATAATAATTATAATTAATAATTATAATCATGCCAATGGCCCACCTCCTACAGCATCCTATTCTCACAGTAGCTGACCAGATGCCTGTGGGAATCCTGGAAGCAGGATTCTAGCACAAGAGCCTCTCTCTTGTGTCTACTAGTGACTAGTATTCAGAATCATTGCTGCCTCCAGTTGTAGAGGCAAAGTATAGCCATCGGCTAGTAACCATCCATAGGCCTCTCCGCCAAGAATGTCTAATCCCCCTTTAAAGCCATCCATCACTGCCTGCTGGTGGGGCGAGTTCCATAGCTCAGCTATGTGCTGTGTGTCTAAAATAAAGTACAGTACAGTACTTCCTTTTATCTGTCCGAAGTCTTCCAACATTCAGCATCATTGGATGTCCCCAATTTCTGGTGTTCTGACAAAGGGTTTAGCTGAGATTCCTGTGTTTCAGGGGGTTGGACTAGATGACCCATGGGGTCCCTTCCAACCATAGCTGTCAACTTTCAGATTTGAAAATAAGAGATCAGCAGCCTCGAAAATAAGGGATCAGCAGCCTCACCTGTCCCAGAGACAGTCTACGGGATATCTAACAATCCAGGATAGCAGCGGGAAACGACGCTGGAATAAGGGAATTTCCCGCAAAAAAAGGGGAAGGTTGACAGCTATGCTTCCCTCTCTACTATTCGATGATAACTTCTTTATCCATCTTTTAAAAAACCCACTGCCCAGTACCTGCTGTTCAGCTTCTCATGGCGTTAGTTGTATCTGGTAATGGCTGTTTCACACAAGCACAACACGGTATGTGCAGTTATCTATGGAGAAATGCTGCAGATTAAATAAATCAAAAAGAGGTACACTCTTTGCTCTGAGTAAATTGGCATGAAATAGGGAACAAAACAAACTGGCTGTAATGTGATATAGCGAAGTGAAACCGATACTGTGCATTTATTTAAAAGATGTACATGCCTCCCACCAGCAAAGCTTCGCAGGGACATTTACAGAAACATAGTAAAATACAAAAGTGAAAAGAGAATAGAATAAATCACAACATTTTAACAATATGTGAAGACTGCAATCAGGGTGTTAAAAGATGGGGATGGGTGGATTCTAACTTCGGTAACCCTAGTCTTGTGGTTTTGTATCTATTAGGCAGGAGTCTAGTTGAAGTGGTGAAATCAGTCTTGGTTAAGCTAGCGCTTATATGAGCCCATTTTACATATCTAAACAACTAGCTAGTGATATTTGCAGAAAAGGAGGTAAGACAGAAGTTAGTTTCTTCTGGACTTGGAAAGACCTTCAGGCTTGGCTTGCTGAAACCCAAACTATGACGGGGGGTGGGACTCCCTGGAAACCAGGGTTTATTTTAGGGGGGCAGGCTTTATGTTGGGGGGCAGAACTGAGTTATCCATGATGCAATTGGTCAGTTAGTTAATTATTTTTATTCATTTACTTGATGGGGGGGGGCAGTGCACCCCCTGGCTACGTCCATGCTGGAAACCTAATGGGGGAGCAACTTCTATTGGAGTATTAATGCTGTGAGTCCTTCCATCTCATTCTTAGGTTTTATACGTGTGTAAATAGAGCAATATGACAAAAAACAAACAAACCACCACAGTCTCCAGGGACCGTTACAAGGAAATCTAAACCAAAGTAGGTGCCGGCACCCCTGAAATCTCTCACAATTTGCAGTGTGTGCTTGTGTAAGTGTAACAATATGCACACTTAGGTATAAGGTCCATTGAATTTAAGAGACTTTTTAGGATTGCATTGTAATCTTAGGATGCCACGGACTTTATCTCATATGAGGATGATGGAACAGAGCTTTGATACAAAGGCAGATTAATAATGCACAGGTTAATGCAGAAGCAAACATTCCTTCAGCTACCTGCATAGGGTTTTTAAGGTAAACACCAACTCTTGAATTGGACTCTTACATGGACCGGAAGGCACTGGAGTTCTCAAAGTGCTTATACAATATATTTAGTCTCAGTTTATACAGTATGCATTTGCAGTTTCATTGTCACAGTGAATTAATCCACATGAATTGGTTTTATCAGTATGAAACAGAAGTAGAAACGGATATAGAGTGGTACCTCAGTTTAAGAACAGTCTGGATTAAGAACTATTTGGTTTACAGAAATAGTTACTATTTGGACAGAAATAGTTTCCTGGTGTGAGAACTTTGCCTCGGTCTAAGAACGGAATCCGAACAGTGCAAGGGCACTGGTGACAGGAGGCCTTATTAGGGAAAGCGCGCCTCTGTTTAAGAACGGTTTTGGTTTAAGAACAGACTTCCGGAACGGATTAAGTTCATAAACCAAGGTACTTGGTTTTATAGTGATTTGTAAGTGGCGTTACAGCTAACAGTGTAAAAGACGAAATGTAAGTTCCATTACATTCTGACAAAAAGTCCAATATAGCAGAGCGATACTGAATTGACATTGCTCCCTCATCTTGAGGTGGTGATGATTGTAACCAACATGTGCTGAGGTCTATGACACGGTATGCCTCAAGACCTGTTCACAAGACAACTGCAACAGGGCTGTTGTTTTTGCCGGGGGGGGGGTGCGTTTCTTGATCGCATTCCTTGGAAAATACGGAGGCTCTGTAGCACCACCCACACCTTTTAATCTTGATTCTTAGACAAACCAGAACAGCATCTTAGTGGCTAAGGATACGGTTACTATAGTAATAACTGTAAACACTGGAAAGGCACCGCCAATCCTGTCCCAGTGTTCCAATAGCAACAGAGGGAAATGGCTTCCAAAGAATCCACAACTTTCTAGGAGTCAGAGGTATATTTTTTACAGAATTTCATTGAGTAAAACTTTATTATTTATTATATTTTTCAGATATATACATTTCACTGATTTTACAATCATTTTGACATTTTAAATCTTAACTTCCTCCCCCCTCTTTCTGCAGTTCCTTAAATTTATTTTTAATATCTTCTGCATATCCAAATTAACTTGACTTACTCATTTATTTACCTTCTTTAAGTATATACTCTTATGTAACTGCAGGTTATGACAATAATCCTCCCAGTGTTTTTATCTGTTTACAATTTATCTGTAATATTCAACAAACCATTTCCATTCTTTTATAAAAAGTTTGTTATCTTGATTTTTTATTCTCCCGGTAAGTTTCACCATTTCTGCATATTCCATAAGTTTTGTATCCATTCTTCCTTTGCTAGGACTTCTGCTTCTTTCCATTTTGGGGCAAGTAGCATTCTTGCCGCTGTAGTCGCATATATGAATAAGTTTCTATACGATTTAAGTAGTTCTATCCCTGTAATTCCCAAGAGAAAGGATTCTGGGTTTTTTACAAATGTTATTTTAAACATCCTTTTCATTTCATTGTATATCATTTCCCATTGAGTAAAACTTTAAACAAACAAACAAACAAAAAGAATAAATATAAGCAAAGTTGTGATTTAGCACATGCTGAGCAAACAGTATCAACTGAGGTCTGAAGACACCTTAGCACAAAGGCATAAATGAGGATCAGAAAAATCATTGTACGTGGAACAGGGAAACTGAAGAGCTATCGTTAAAAGTCTTTTTAGGAGCACCTTTCTAATTAAGCTAAAAAGTGGCTCATCCCAAAGGCAACGACCAATACAAACCATAAGAAAATAGGTTTTTAAAAAAGTAACTGTTTCCAGATGTTCAAGTTCCCTGGACTTGCTTGCAGTTCAGGAGGTGAGCTCATGAAGAAGGGTGGTCCCTGGGGATTGTCTTGCCCACGTTTCCTCCAAAATCTGGAAATGACACTCACTTTTGGACTTGTATGGGGATACCTGGCTTTGAAGCCCCACTTCTCATGAAGGTAATTTTGAATCAGTCAATACAGACTCAGCTTAAACCATCCTTTCATTGCTTATTCGGTTCCCCATAGTTTGCGCTTGATTTCTTCTAGTTAGAGCATCACTATTTAATCAATTAGGCTATTAATTTTTTTAAAAAGAACGCTTTCATAAAATTGTAGAGCTGGAAGGGGTCCCAATGGTCACCTTTTCAAACTCCCTGCAATGCAGGAATCGCAGATAAAGAATCCCTGACCGATGGCCATCCAACCTCTGTTTAAAAACCTCCAAGGAAGGAGACTCCACCACCTTTGAAGGTAATCCATTCCACCATCAAGCAGAAAGCTCTTCCTAAAGTTTAGTCAGAATCTCCTTGTCATTTGGCTCCATTGGTCGAGTCCTACCTTCTGGAAGCAGCAGAAAACAAACTTTCTCTGTCTTCCACATGGCAGCCCTTCAACTAAAAATTGTCACAGTTAAAAAGACAGTACATTAAAAATATATATATTAAGATGACTTTAAAAATTAAGCACTACTTTAAAAAGGTCATTTTGTCTTTCACATACAGGAGAATTATCTTCCAAGATGAAGCCTGCTACAATATACAGGCACATGATCTAAGAACAAGAAATGTATGGTTCCCCCCCACACACACCTTCAGTATGATATTCCCACCCCCTTATATGTTGCTTTGTGCAAATTCAATTGATTCATTAATATTTCCTTCATTTGGTTACAGCCCTAGTTTCTACGCTTCCTGAGGTGAACTATTTCCCAATTCATCAGACAAGTAAGTACATATTCCATGTTCTGTCCTCAGTTGCTGACCAAGTGGCCATCAAGGAAATTATCCAGATGTGGAGTCCATAGACCATGAAGCAGCCGACTATGGAGATCAGTTACTAATGTGAAGGAGCCTTTAAACAGCCTCTGCCTGGCATTTTTATTCTGTGTGAGGTTTGTTATGTACTGAAGTTCTCACCCTGGGCCAGCAGGCGGATACTGTAGATAGTTTTCACTCAGGTCCACATATGCAAATAAGGGATTGAAAGTGACGTTCAGTGATTGGATAGTTACAGAAAATTGTTACAGTTGCGTTGTAGTGGAGCTCTATATATAAGCAGGTTGGCTGAATCCTTCAGTTCAGTTCAGTTCTGGCCTGTGAATAAACAAGAGCTGTTTGAAGAATTGCTGTGTCGTTTGATATGTTCACCCACAGCTTAACAAGGTTCCTTCTCCTGCTGAAAGGAAAGGCCCTGAGATTGCATCAAATATTATCGTATTTGGAGTTACTAAAATCTTTCTATATCTGAAACAAAAATAATTCAAAAACTTCATATGGTTGTACAGTATCTTAAGCTTAAAGGATAGGGCAACTTTATCATTGTTATTGTTCTGCTCTTCTTGCAAATCTTTACAAAGGAGCTCTGCTCAGTTCAGTTACAGAAAAGTTAGCTCCCCCCCCCCATTGCCAGTCACTTTGTTTGGGGGGGACGACGACTCTAATTTATTCTGGGGAAATAGCCCTGTTGACACACCATGTAAATATGCCCTGTTACACTATAAAGACAGCAGTGCCCCACAACTTTACAGATGTTTTTCATTTGAAATTGTGCACCCCCACTGAGCATATCTCTCCCCATCATTTATTTATTTTTAAATGTGAACAGTAAATACATAGGGTTGCCATATTTCAAAAAGTGAAAATTCAGACACAAAAGTTGTTTATCTTTTTTGGGGGGTGGGATTGCCAAATAATCAACACTATGTCTGGGAAATTATGGGTGTATGACAGCCACATACATACATACAGTGGTACCTCGGGTTACATACACTTCAGGTTACATACGCTTCAAGTTATAGACTCTGCTAACCCAGAAATAGTACCTCGGGTTAAGAACTTTGCTTCAGGATGAGAACAGAAATCATGCTCTGGTGGCGCGGCGGCAGCAGGAGGCCCCATTAGCTAAAGTGGTGCTTCAGGTTAAGAACAGTTTCAGGTTAAGAACAGACCTCCGGAACGAATTAAGTACTTAACCCGAGGTACCACTGTAATTTTATTTGTATGCCACCTTTGCACAGTTCAAATCATGCTCCAGGCGGCTTACTACAGGGGAAAAATAATACAGTGGTACCTCAGGGAGGACACTCTACGGTGTTGCCCGGGCATATGGCAACCCATGTTGGAAAATTTAATTTTTTCCAGAGGTTTTGCAAAAAAAGAAAAGAAAAAAAGAAAACTCAACAACTTTGCCCAAAAAGTGTCCTGCAGTAAAACAACTAACTTCCTCTCTTGTCTTCATCTCTAAAGATGAAGGGCGTTCTGATTTCAGTCCAAACAGGTACTGGCTAACTCTCACCATGATTGGGCAGCTATTTTAAGGCTAAACAGGCCCTGACAAAACTGGCATGGTGCTGCTCTTGATCATCTATACACACTGAAAACCCTTTCTTGTTTCCAGTTTTGTTGACAGTAGAATTGCACGCAGCCTACTTTGTTCAGAGTTAGGTTCTTGTCATGTACTGAGCTGAATCTTAGAACAATAGTATCCAGAATGCAGCAGTCCTGATTGGTCCAAGAGCCACCCAATCCAGCTCCAGATGGAAGTGAATCAGCGACCTGATTGGCCTGCAGGAGCAGCCCGGAATTAGCCAATCACGCGGGGCCCATTCTGTAAATAATGTATATATAGCTAGACGTTTTGGGGAAAGTTTCATTCATTGCTACTATGAGCTGAATAAAGAGCATGAAATTCACATCGACTCTGAGTATATTTCAGTTCTCTTTGGTAATACTGATCATATTTCCTAATTTTCCTAACATGGAAACTATGCATTGTAGAAATAGATATTCAGTATATACTATATAGTGTAGGTAGCAAGCATATGATTAATCTCTCATTTGCTCATAAAGGGGTATGAATTAAAACTTAAAATTGATATCTATTCTGAAAAAGTCCCCAGCTGTTCATGAAATAGTACTCCTATATATGTGTGCATAGGCTGCAATTTGTTAGAAGTCCCATTGAACTCAACAGGGCTTACGTCCAAGTAAGCCACATATATACAGTATGGCACGATTTTATTTCTTACACAAATATCGAGGCACATGATCACTCAGTGCTGCCACTATGTGCAAATGTCTCGATCATTTAAGTCTATATAGAACCTTTATTCTCAATAATGATGGAACTCCCAGCTGGAGAATACTTTATTTTTTTTAAATAAATCTTTATTGTTTGTAAAGGAAATCTTTGTAGGAGTTAATATTTTATTATCCCTTTGGAGCTGTCTTTCCAGGCTGTGACTATGGTTTAATTTTTAAAAGATTTTTTAAAAATATTTTTCTTTTTCTTATGTTTGCACCTGTTTTTTTTCATTAACAAAGCAATAGAATTAAAAAAGGAAAAAAATATTTCCTCTCTACCAGCATTCCATATCAGACGGCTTTAAAACTCTTTGAGAAGCAGTTGATCATATTGTATGCAGGCTATCAGAAGAACGCAATCCTAAAGCCCCATTTGGCATGTAGAGCTAATTGCAAGGTTCTTTTTATGAGTATTTCTTGGTTTTGTTTGAGAAGGATAGTTGAAACACATTTTACTTTTCTTTGTTTTTATAGAATGTCGTGGGAAAAAGGATCTCCACAATGTAAATCTGACAAATCTGAAGAAGATCCCACAAAGGTAGTTACAGATGACTTCAAGAAGTTGACAAACTCGATATTACAGTACTTTGCTCCCATATGCCAACAAACGGTACACATTAGCGAAATTTCTTTCCATAAAAAAGTCCACCAGGCCTTGGCAGTACTGGGATTATCACCGGCCATGGGTGGAATCAATAGATGTAAATAAAATAGTTTCTTCAGAGAAAACGCCTGCTTTTAAAAATGAAAAAATATAAGACTCCTAAGTATGTTGAACGAAAGACGGAGAAGATTGGCTGTTCATTTGATCTCCTTAAGAAAGCATGAAGCCAACTCCATATTTTTTGCATTGATAGTATTGCTCAAAGTTCTGTGCACGTTGAAGAAGTTACCAATCCACTGATAAAAGCCATCGCAATATGTCAAGACAAAAATGCTCGTTGGCATGAAAACTTGGAAGACGTATTTGTCGTGTTAGACAATTATGGGAACAGGGCAGGTACGTCCTTTCTTGGGGTTTTTGATGGAAGCGATGGAATCTCTGCTGCAGAGACGACGTCCGTGGAACTTCCCGTTTTACTCCTTGACCAGCTTTCTCACGAAGATCCGTCCTACCAAGTGAGTGAAGCTGGGAAAGAATTCATAGATTCCTTCTGCACCGTCTTCAGGGCAGATTACATAGTGAGGGAGAGACTTTTCACTCAGAAGGGTGCCAGAGGCAAGAAGTCTTGGCCAGGTGATTTGAATGGATTCACAGAGCATATGCGAAGTCTTTTCCTGGCGTATGGACAGGCTTTTGCGGCTTGGGAGAAACGAAGTTTCCAGAGTCTGCTGGAGCAGTTGTACAGCTGCCACCTGTATAATAGAAAATATAAGCAACGAAAAGGAAAGCCAACCTGAAGAAGAGGAGGAGAAAATGCTTGAAAGGTAACTGAGGAAGAGGAACAGAACGTCGGACAACAGAGCGAGGAGGAGATGCCTAAAAGGATATTCATAGCAAAGAAAAAAGGTGACGCAGAACAGGGAGTGGCTCTGCTTATAACTAAGAAAGAGAGGGGCAGTGTCACAGAACAGCAGCCAGAGGAGCCACTTGGAGGAACCAACGGCAAAAAGGAAAGCAGCACAGTAGAGTCAGAAAACAATGAGCAGGTTGCCAATAATAAGGATGTGATTCAGGAAGAGAATCTGCTTGAAAGCAAGGAACAGCAGCAAGAAGAATCACTTGAAAGAACAGATGATCATGCCAGAGAGCCAGGGGACAATGTTCAGATTGCTGATCACATAGATGGGGGCAAGGAAGAGGGTCTCCTTGAAAACATGGAAGAGCAGCAAGGTGAGTCACCTGAAAGAACAGATGATAACACTGGAGAGCCAGGAGACAATGTGCAGATTGCTGATCATATAGATGGGGGCAAGGAAGAGGGTCTCCTTGAAAACATGGAAGAGCAGCAAGGTGAGTCACCTGAAAGAACAGATGATAACACTGGAGAGCCAGGAGACAATGTGCAGATTGCTGATCATATTGATGAGAGCCAGGAAGAGTCTCTTCTTGAAAACATGGGACAGCAACAAGGTGAGTCATCTGAAAGAACAGATGATCACACCAGAGTGCCAGGAGACAATGTGCATGTTGCTGATCATATAGATGAGAGCCAGGAAGAGGGTCTGCTTGAAAACATGGAACAGCAGCAAGGAGAGTCATCTGAAAGAACAAATGATCTCACCGCAGAGCCAGGAGACAACGAGCACATGGCAGATAGCATAGATGGGAGTCAGGAAGAGGAAGAGCTTGAAGGCGACAATAGTTCTGCACCGACAGAAGAAAAAATTGGACTCATGCATATTGCTAATATTGGTACGTATGGAATACTGTTACCATTTCCCACTACCCTACCCCATTTTAAAATTTGGGCCTGTCAGTTTTGAATGATACAGCAAGTGCCTGCAATTTAATTCAATACTGCATAGCCTTGGGTCCTAACTCACTCTCCATAAACAGAAGAGCTCTTTCCACTGGCAGAGGAAATCGGGCTCCAGCATAGGTTTTTGCCTGAGTACAGGGTGGCGTTTTGTTTTTGTTTGTTTTTTGTCTCTCATCCACTCTCTAGAGCAGATCTTTTCTTTTAAGCAAAGGGACTTCAGGGGAAAGGGGATATCAGCAAAGAATGCCACACAGACCTTCCACATGGTGGGAGTATATTGTTAGCAGAATTCCATTCGCAGAATATTCTCGCCAGCAGAACCTTAGGATCTAAGTCAACGTTTGCAAGATGAAGCACTCTTCAACTATCTCAGCACCAAAAAAATAAAGAGTGGGAAAGAGACAAGTCAATATGGCATGCAATAATTTTGAATAACAGATATCTTCTTTAATGGGATTGTTCTCACCTAAACTTTGAACTGAAATAGGAACAATAAGTCTGTATTCCTAAACTGTAACAAGCTTCCCTTCCCAATTTTTTTTTTGTCATCGGTCTGTTTCTTTGTTATGTTCAACAAACACAATCTCTCAGCAAACCATAGTTTAGCCAGTTCCTAATTCAGATGTAACAAACTATTGTTATGGACAGAGTATGTGCAAAATGGATCATCATGTGAAAAACTGATACCATCTATCTGTCTTAGCTATATTTACAAATGCCTTGGAGAAGTCAGATGGCTGATGGCTCTTTTTGGGGGGGAAGACATAAGACCTGGCAGGTTGGACATACCCCTTCAGTCAAATTATCTCCTTTTTAAGGTTTTCCTTTTCCCCAAATTTGAAAACCAGCCTCAGTCAAAGAAACATCAGCTTATTTAGGAACCGGAAGGTTGATCACTCATCTGTGGATATGGGGAGTAGAAATAGCTGTGATATTATGTGTGAACTGGGTTGTTGACTTGTTGAAAGAGGGGGAAATACTATTGGTAAAATCCTATCAAATGCATTTCATGAAAAATTGCTTAGCTGAAATCCTCAGTAATTTAAGCAGAAATACTGACGCAAGCTTATGGTAGGAAGATTACCCTTCCTGCTAACCCTTGTATTTTAATTTGTATCTCTTATAAACCTTTTCTGTCAGATGTCACAAGGAACATGCCCACTTTTCTTACATAATTGCTTCATTCTTTTATTCCATAATTGTGTTCATCATTTGCAGCTGTAGAAATGGTGAAATTCCATGATAGAGATAATTAGGAAAGGGGTTGAAAATATAACTGCCAATATATTAAAGCTGTTATACAAATCTGTGGTGTGACTGTACTTGGAATACTATATACAATTCTGGTCACCACACATAAAAAGGATATGGTAGAGCTGTAAAAGTTTCAGAAAAGGACAAGGATGACGGGGATGAATCAACTGCCTTATGAGGAAAGATGATGATGATATTTATATGCCACCCATCTGACTGGGTTGTCCCCGCCACTCTGGGCGGCTTCCAACAAAATATTAAAATACTGTAATATGTCAAACATTAAAAGCTTCCCTAAACAGGGCTGCCTTCAGATGTCTTCTTAAAGTCTGGTAGTTGTTGTTCTCTTTGACATCTGGTGGGAGGGTGTTCCACAGGGAGGGCGCCACTACCGAGAAGGCCCTCTGCCTGGTTCCCTGTAACTTGGCTTCTCACAGTGAGGGAACCACCAGAAGGCCCTCGGCAGTGGACCTTAGTGTCCAGGTAGAACGATGGGGGTGGAGACGCTCCTTCAGATATACTGGACCGAGGCCGTTTAGGGCTTTAAAGGTCAGCACCAACACTTTGAATTGTGCTCAGAAACGTAAGGGAAGTCCCCTCCCCCCGCACCTCCAATCATACTACAGTGGTGCCTTGGTTTACAACCATAATCCATTCCGGAGGTCCGGTTGTAAACCAAAACAGGTTGTAACCCAAGGCGCGCTTTCGCCAATGGGGCCTCAAAAAAAAATGGGTTGCAATCCAAAAAAAGGGGGCCATGCACTTCCAGGTTTGATGTGTTTGTAATCCAAAATGGTTGTAATCCAAAACGGTTGCAAACCAAGGTACCACTGCACAACCCAGGGTTATCTTTTGGAGGAAGATTCAGGACTGACAAAAGGAGAAACTTCTTTACACAGTACTAGGGTTGCCATATGTCTGGAATTTCCCGGACATACCCGGAGTACTGAAGCCAGAAGCAGTGTCTGGGCAGAAATCGGCTAAATGTCCAGGAAAATCTGGACGTATGGCAACCCATGTCAGCAGTGTCGTTTTTGTCAATTTCCCTTAAAAATAGCTAAAAAACCTCCTGTTATTTCATATTTTTTTTCAGCTTTTGCCCAAAAGCTCAGCAACTGTCTGGATTTCCACTTCTTGAAATATGTCAACCCTGTACACAGTACATAACTGCAATATGTAGTACTGGTCACCAACTTGGATGGCTTTAAAATGAGTTTAAACAAATTCGTGGAGGTTAAGGCTATCGGTGGCTACTAGCTATTATATCTCTCTACTACCTCCAATTCCAGAGGCATGGTTGGGGAGCGCAAGTGGAGAGAGTTGCTTTTACACTCATGCCGTTCTTTTGGGTGGCCACCATGAGAACGGGATGCTGAACTGAATATCAAAGCCTTTGGCTCTTCTTAAATGACTGCTGCCGTGTCTTATGGACATAACCTCGGCTCCAAAGAGATAAATATTTGCGCTTGACTCAAAATGATCCAGATTCTTTTACTACCTGAGTTCTAAATCCAGTCTGTTGAAAAGTTGCCCTCTAAGATCCAACATGTTTTACATGCATACTTTCATTTGGAGCCAGATATTATTATTTTTGAACAAATCTGATAACTTTTTTTGGCAGTGACTGGCATCTGGGAGGTACCCAGCTATAGATGTGACAGAAGCTACATAGCAGACATGGAAAACAGCAGTCCTAATGATCTCATAATTTTCAGGGAAGATAAGTCTGTCAGTAGCTACTAGGCGTGATGCTTTTGCTCTGCCTCCATAGATCAGTGTTTCCCAACCTTTTTTGGGCAAAGGCACACTTGTTTCATGAAAAAAATCTCGAGGCACACCACCATTAGAAAATGTTAAAAAATTTAACTCTGTGCCTATATTGACTACCATATTTTTCGCCCCATAGGACGCACCGCCCCATAAGACGCACCTAATTTTTTGGGGGGAGAATAAAGAAAAAAAAATTTTTCCCCTCCCCAGGCACGGGGCAGGCGCGGGGGAAACCCAAGCTTCCCCCGACCCCAGCCCCCAGAACAGCCTGATATCCGCAAGCCTAGGGAGCCACACTGGTCTCCCCAGGCTTGCGGAGAGGTGCGTGAAGCCCGGGGGCGCTCTTCAGCGCGCACCAGGCTTCGGGATGCAGGCAGCTCTGCACTACCCTCCAGAGCCCCGTGCGGCTTCGCGCTGGGATCCGGGGGGTGGCGCGGAGCTGCAAGAAGCCCTGGAGCGCAGGCAGCTTCGCACCACCCTCCGCAGCCCCGCGCGGCTTCGGGCCGGGATGGGGGGGGTGGCGCGGAGCTGCAAGAAGCCCTGGAGCGCAGGCAGCTCCGTGCCACCCTCCGCAGCCCCGCGCGGCTTCGCACCGGGATCCGGGGGTGGCGCGGAGCTGCAAGAAGCCCTGGAGCGCGGGCAGCTCCGCGCCACCCTCCGCAGCCTCCTACGGAGGGCGCCCCGTGCTCCGCGCTGCTGGCTGCCGCCCGCAAGCCGTGCACGCGGGGGGGAGTTCCCCTGGGCGCGCAAGGCTTGCGGACAGCTGCGCGAAGAACGGGGCGTCCTCCGAAGGACGCCCCGCGCTGCAGGCTGCCGCCGCAAGCCTTGCGCGCGGGGGGGGGAGTTCCCCAGGCGCCCAAGGCTTGCGGACAGCTGCGCGAAGCACGGGGCGTCCTCCAAAGGGCGCCCCGCGCTCCGCGCTGCAGGCTGCCGCCCGCAAGCCTTGCGCGCCGGGGGGGAGTTCCCCCAGGCGCCCAAGGCTTGCGGACAGCTGCGCGAAGCACGGGGCGTCCTCCAAAGGGCGCCCCGCGCTCCGCGCTGCAGGCTGCCGCCCGCAAGCCTTGCGCGCCGGGGGGGAGTTCCCCCAGGCGCCCAAGGCTTGCGGACAGCTGCGCGAAGCACGGGGCGTCCTCCAAAGGGCGCCCCGCGCTCCGCGCTGCAGGCTGCCGCCCGCAAGCCTTGCGCGCCGGGGGGGAGTTCCCCAGGCGCCCAAGGCTTGCGGACAGCTGCGCGAAGCACGGGGCGTCCTCCAAAGGGCGCCCCGCGCTCCGCGCTGCAGGCTGCCGCCCGCAAGCCTTGCGCGCCGGGGGGGGAGTTCCCAGGCGCCAAGGCTTGCGGACAGCTGCGCGAAGCACGGGGTCTTCTCCAAAGGGCGCTCTCCGCGCTGCAGGCTGCCCCCGCAAGCCTTGCGCGCCGGGGGGGGAGTTCCCCCAGGCGCCCGGCCTTGCGGACAGCTGCGCGAAGCACGGGGCGTCCTCCAAAGGGCGCCCGCGCTCCGCGCTGCAGGTTCCCGCCCCCCGCCCGCTTCGGAGCACCGGGAAAGCGATCTCCCGCAGCCCCTTGCTTCAAAAGAGGTCCGGGGGCAGCGCGAAGCGCTTCCCGCTGTCCCCGGACCTCTTTTGAAGCAAGGGGCGGTGGGGAGAAGCGATCTCGGGCGCCGCGCCGCCCCGCCTCTCCCGCCTCCCTCCCGGCACACCAGGCAAGGTCTCACGGCACACTGGTGTGCCGCGGAACACCGGTTGGGAAACACTGCCATAGATGAAGTAATGCTTCTGAATACCAGTGGCTGGAAACACAGAAGAGGGGAATGCTATTGTGCATGGGTCCTGTTTGCCCATTTCCCACAGCCATATACAGTGGTAACTCAGGTTAAGTACTTAATTCGTTCCAGAGGTCCGTTCTTAACCTGAAACTGTTCTTAACCTGAAGCACCACTTTAGCTAATGGGGCCTCCTGCTGCTGCCGTGCCGCCGAAGCCCAATTTCTGTTCTTATCCTGAAGCAAAGTTCTTAACCTGAAGCACTATTTCTGGGTTAGCGGAGTCTGTAACCTGAAGCGTATGTAACCCAAGGTACCACTGTACCTGAAGGAGCATCTCCACCCCCTCCGAGGGCCTTCTGGTGGTTCCCCCCCCCCTGCGAGAATTGAGGTTGCCGGGAACCAGGCAGAGGGCCTTCTCAGTAGTGGCACCCGCCCTGTGGAACGCCCTCCAATCAGATGTCAAAGAAACAAACAACTACAGTGGTACCTCGGGTTACATAGCTTCAGGTTATGAACGCTTCAGGTTACAGACTCTGCTAACCCAGAAATAGTACCTCGGGTTAAGAACTTTGCTTCAGGATGAGAACAGAAATCGTGCTCTGGCGGCGCAGCAGCAGCAGGAGGCCCCATTAGCTAAAGTGGTGCTTCAGATTAAGAACAGTTTCAGGTTAAGAATGGACCTCCGGAACGAATTAAGTATGGTACTTAGCCCGAGGTACCAGTGTATCTGACTTTTTAAAGACATCTGAAGGCAGTCCTGTTTAGGGAAGTTTTTAATGTTTGATGTTTTGTCGTGTCATCATCATCTAGGTGTCCACTGAGAACAGAATGGCTTGATCCAGCAATCCTTATGTCTAATTGTACAAAGCTTTTTGCCATGTCACTGTACTGCACATTTGTCTCCCCTCATTGGACACTGAGAATCTCAATGCAATTGTGATCCTACAGAGGTGTAATGGGGTGTTAGGGGAGGAGTAGTACCTCTGGTGGGGGACACATTGCGCTCCTTCTAGGGTAGTTTGTCTACCTTTGGTCCCTACCCTCCACTCAGCTCTCACCTGTGGCTCCAAGAAGCTGTCAGCCTGTGGCAGTGGCCACATCCTGGGAATGACTTCGACTGGATGTAGCCAAGGGCTCTGAAACCCTCAGCGAGTTAGGGACTTCCCTTGCATGGGAAGAAAGGCTCCGGCAGATTGAGCAGAGACCAATGGTCAAAAAGGTGGTTTCTACACGGCCGTAGAGGGAAGTGAGGGGCAGATGGGGCTCATCAAGCTGGGAAGGCAGCCCATCTAGGAAAAGGAAAACTGATCCTAAACTTCCGCTGCCTTGCGGGGTATTTTTGGGAGAAGAGAAGGCTAAGGAATAAACACAAATCTGGAGCACAGTCCCCAATATGGTTGGATAGTACCTTGCACGCCTCCTTCTGACAACTCCTGCAGCCAGGTTGGTGCCAAACGTATAGCTGTGATTTCCTTTGGACTACATCAGAGAAGGTGAGAAGGGGGGTCTTGTTGTCTGGGCAGCCCAGGACGACCTCCATACACACTGCCTGGAGAGGTCACTTCGGTGCTGCTAACACAGTGGTTTTGACTTCACCCCTAGAAGTGCGCTCCACTGTCTCTTGAGACAGATGGATGCAAGCTATTTTGCACAACTAAAACAGCCTTCCCCAAATGTGTTCCCTCCAGATGCCTTACACTACACAACTCCCATCATCCCTAAGCATTGGGACCACGCTGTCTTGAGCCAGTGGGTGTTTTAGCTTAATGCATCTGGAGAATACCAGGATGGAGAGGGCCTTACTAGATATTGCCAGTGGAACCTGCTCTAGCCATGTTTGCATCTAGGGTACTGCAAGATGTACAAATGATTTGATCAGGAAAATCCACCACCACTCTTCCCATTTTTCTTCTCCAACTTCACACTTTCTATGCTTCTCACAGGCCAACCAATAAGCACACCCAGTCCTCATGGGGCTATTTGAGCTTTTTACTATTTTGGTTTTGTAAACGGATGTGACATTTCTACATACTTCATGGCTCTCTTCTAATATGCCGGTACACCCTCATTTCTTAGTGGCCCTGTTTTGTATCCAAACCTATCGGCATTGAACCACCCGAGTTTGCTATTTGTCAAAATGGTAAGATGGATCAAATTTGCCATTTGCGTCCCACGGGCTCTCACTGTCTAGTTTCAGCCTATGGATGTAGTAATTTAGGTCTGTAGAAAGTGGCACTTGACTTGGAATCATGGGAGAAGGGTAGGTAAGATAAACTGAGCACTTGGGACTCAGCTAGACTTGTAAAGAAAAAGTGATTTATATGTGTTGTGTGTGCGATATAACATTGTGCCACCAGATGGTGACACAAGAGTCCCGTTTTTCTCTACCTGCTTTCCCTGTTTAAATTTACAATGCTTTGAACTGAAATGCTTCTTTGATGTGCCTAGAATCCAGCTTTAGACTGGTTATCTCCATGAATGATGAAAGATGGCAGAACATGAATTGTGTATAGAATCTGCACAGCATAACGTGTAGAGGAAAAGCAACAGCTGAAGTTTTAAGTGCTTTCAAAGATCAATTCAGTTACGTTATACAGTGATAAGTTGTGTGTGTGTTTTTTAATTGTAGGCAATGTTCATGCTGTTTTATGCAAAAATGGGAAAAGCTATTGGGTTACTAAAGAACACAGCACTTATTCTAGAGAAGAAAGGATCCGTGTTCTTAAGAATGGTGGCTATATCAGCAGCAATGAACCCAAAGGACTGATAGAAGGACTTATCAAGAGCACTCGGGGCCTTGGCCACCACGGCAATCCAAAGCTGAAAAATACTGTCATTCCTGTACCACATACAATCTCCTTTCCTGTTGACGATTCATGCCAATTTCTTATTTTAGCTTCTAATGGACTCTGGGAAGTTCTGGATAAAAGTGAAGCAGTACTATTGACATTAACAATGTTTTCTGCTTATCTGGAAAAGTATCAGCGCTCCCAACTGAAGAAAGCCCGCATGCCCAAAGGCTCTGAGTTACCTTCGAATGATTTGGAAACTGAATTCTATTCATGGTATTTAAATAAAGATTTTTTGGCAGATATTGACTTACAAAATTTAAGGTCCTCAAGTAGCGTTGTGCAAGAAGAAGAGATGGTTCAGTCACGTTCCTCAGCAGAGCAAGAACCAGAAGCAGAGGAAGAACCAGAAGAAGCAGCGGAAGAATCAGAAGCAGAGGAAAAATCAGAAGCAGATGAGGAAGAAGCTGCAGAAGAAGAAGCAGAGGAAGAAGAAGCAGCAGCAGAGGAAGAAGAAGAAGTGGAAGAGGAGGAGGAGGAGGAAGAATCAGAAACCACTTTAGAAGTTTCTGGCTCATGGGACTTAAGTGATGATACAACTCATGAAAGCACAGAACAAACTCTAACCCCAGAGTTTGCGATAAATGTAGAAGAACCTGAACCTGAAAGTTCTGAATCTTCACAAATATCAGAAGATTCAGAAATCAATTCTAGGACATTTTATGCCCTTGCAGCTAAGTATATTAGTAAGCACCTTGTAGAAACTGCACTAAAAGCAGGTTCCAGAGATAATATTACTGTTCTGATAGCACTCTTAAATGGATGTGATAAAATACCCACTTATATTTAGCCTGTATACTGTGCTTAGGAGGATAGTTCAAGTGAAGGAAAGCTATAGCACAGTTCATCCATTTTATGATAAAAGAAACTGCCACAATAAATTCAGAAAAATGAGTTATTTTGTATAAAAAAAGACTGATTAGAATTATTTCCTTTTTTATACCACTTTATTCAAACCTGAGCACCTCAATATAAAACTAAACACTGGTGAACTGTCATTTTCCTTGCTAAGCCCAATTACTGCAAATTTACAATCTGCACATGTAAGTTTCTGCTAGCAGTTCAACATTTAAATAGATTAAATCATCTTTTCTGACACTTGGTAGATTTCATATAATGAAAATAACTAAAGAATTAGTGCAATATACTGGACAGATCAAAATAAAATGGACTTTGGAAAACAAAGTTGCAGATTTCATTACAGACAGACAGTAGTACTTATGTTACATGTACAGGAGCATCATTTATTACTTTCTAGCCATTAAGGAAGAACTTAATCCCCCTGAGATGTGGGGAAAAGAAATG